AGAATCCATCTGCAATGTGGGAGACCTGGGTTCAATCCCTGGGTCAGGAAGATTCCATGGAGAAGAAAGTGGCTACCCACTCCAGTATTCTTGCCTAGAGAATTCCATAGACAGTGGAGCCTGTGAGCTATACAGTCCATGGGGTCCCAAAGAGCTGGACACACCTGAGAAACTAACACATTCACTTTTCACTTTCATAACATTCAATAATTTTTAAAAAGAGTGGATCATAAAAATGAAAAAAAAAGAGAAAAAGAAAGAAAAAGGGAAGTTAATTTTAGTGTGTGGACTGAGACATATTTTAGGATTTGCACTCATTCTCTGAATGAATTCCTTGAAATGTGGTAGACTTCTAATTCTACTTCATATATATAGAATAATGGAGAAGGAAATGGCAACCCACTCCAGTATTCTTGCCTGGAGAATCTCATGGACAGAGGAGCCTGGCAGGCTACAGTCCATGGGCTTGCAAGAGTCAGACATGACTTAGTGACTAAACCACCACCATAATAGAATATAAGATCATTAAACTAATATTAGAATTGTATAACATTAACTAACTACTTCAATAATAAATCAAATTCTGTACACCTAAAACTATCACAACATTGTTAATCAACTATACTCCAGTATAAAATAAAAAGTTAAAAAATTCTGATTTAAGAACTGTGACTGAATATTTGATCTGGACAAAGCAGCCTGGCAGACTACAGTCCATAGGGTCACAAAGAGTTGGACACAACAGAAGCTACTTAGCACAAACAGGGGCTCCCCAGGTGGCAGTAGTGCGCTAGTGGTAAAGAACCCTCCTGCCAATGCAGGTGATGCAAGAGACAGGGGTTCAATCCCTGGGTTGGGACGATCCCCTGGAGGAGGACATGGCAACCCACTCCAGTATTCTTGCCTGGAGAATCCCATGGACAGAGAAGCCTGGCAAGCTACAGTCCTTGGGACTGCAAAGAGTCAGACACAACTGAGCCACTACTGGGGATCAGGTTGGGCTGCCCCAAAACAGGCCAAAATGGCATATTGATTAGTTAAAATTGATGTTATTCAAGAAGCAGCTGATGCAAGAAGGAGATTCTGATTCTTGTCTCTTTCCCTGAAATTAGTAAATAAATCTCTCACATGAAAGGGGCTCTCCTGTATCTGGAGATAGAGGGCCCCTTTATTATCAGAGATGGGGGATTTGGAGACTAGAGGTTATGTAAGCAAAGCTTGTTATTTCTTTAATATACTACCCCAAGTCCAAGCTGTTAAGATTCTTCACTAATGAAGAACCCAAAGCCTAAATTTCTTTGTCCTGTCAATTCCTCATCAATTTATTGTTTCTCTGAAAAGGGATACAAGTTGCCTGTTTCAGACACTTCTTAGGCCCCATTTCTGTGAGACCTCCATGTGCATGAATTCAAATTTGTTATTCTTTTTCTCCTGTTAATCTGACTAGTGTCAATGTTATTATTAGTTTGGCCACAAGCGCTCAGCAGTGGTAGATGGAAAAATTTCCCCTTCCTCAACGTCACACTGTCCTACAAATGAATATTATTGGTCCAACTTCAATGTAAGGGATACCAGCACAGAGAGGTGGGGAGATTTACACACACTCCACATTTAGTGGGTGAAAGATGCGGGTCTCACACAAAGGCTTCCTGATTCCCACCCCATGTGTCCCACCAGAGTGAATTGATTGTTTTCTTTTGAAACCTGCTTTAGTCCCAGATGTGCAAATGCAGTTAGAACCATGGATTCCTCCTGCTGGGATCTGGTGAGTTTATCTGTGAATTAGCAGAATGGAACAAGTGGTTTGCAGGGGCCTTTTATGTGAATATTATGAATGATGGAGTTTTCTATGAATAGAAATGCATTTTCCAGTGAAATGAAAATCATTCAGTCGTATCCATGTCTGTGCTACCATACAGGCTGTAGCCTGCCAGCCTCCTCTGTCCACAGAATTCTCCAAACAAGAATACTGGAGTGGGTAGCTAGTCCCTTCTCCAGGGGATCTTCTGAATGCTGAGGTTGAACTCAGGTCTCCTGTACTGAAAGCAGATTCTTTACTGTTTGAGCCACTACTCTCCAGACCATTCTGTAAATCTGAGCTATGGAAGCATCATTCCCTATGCAAGTCAGAAGAAGGATCTTTTTGATTTTATCCCTTGACAATTGGAGCAAGTATTTGCTTTTGTCTGATATCTTGGTCAGGAAAATAAGTCTAGGTAGTTAATAGTAAAGTTGCATGTTTCAATTTTTAGAACTGAGGCAATAGTCATGGGCTTATATATTTTGGAAATACCCTTGTGTAGGATGGAGGACAGTGTTAGTATTATTTTATCTGTATCATAATAAGAAATTGAAAAAAAATGAATTTTAACCCTCAGGTAGTACTTTGCATGATTTTATGTGCTGAAATACATATATGATCTTAGTTCTCCCACCAGGAATCAAACCTGCACCTCCTGCATTGGAAGAATGGATTCTTTTTTTTTTTTGTGTGTGTGTGTGTGTGTGTGTGTGTGTATTAAGTCAACATACTGTCAAACTTCATTTGAAAAAAAAAATGTTTTTAATTGAAGTATAGTTGATTTACAATGTTGTGTTTCTGGAGTACAGCAAAGCAATTCAGTTATGTATATTCTGTTTCATATTCTTTTTCCCATTATGATTTATTAGTAGATATTGAATATAATTCTCTGTTCTACAATAGAACCTTGTTGTTTATATATTTTATATATAGTACTTTGTATCTGCTAATCCAGAATTCCTATTTTATCCCTCTCCCACACCCTTTTGGAAGTATGGATTTTTAACCACTTGACCATCAGAGAAGTCCAAAAGCTCTCTATTTTTATCAGTAATAAATATAAGTTCCAAAGCAAGCATTGTTAAATTTTTGCATTTTAGTATGTGAAGTGGATAACCATGGTATTAATGATGCCAAAATCTTGGCTCCCTCTCTGCCAAGGCCAAATATAAATATAGAGACAGAGTCTGGAGGAAATAGAAAAGAGTTTCTTTATTTTCTTTGCCAGGTAAAAAGGAAGCACAGCAGGCTAGCACCTCGAGAACTGTGCCTTCACCCCTTTCTCAGGAATAGGGAGAGGTTTTATACCCTCTTGAAGGTCTTGGATTTTTTTCTTTTGCAAAGTTTCAAAATGGCCACAGCTGATGTCAGGCAACTCAGCAACCGGGTCTGGTGCCCCTGAGGTTATTGGCTCATGATCTCCTTTCTGAAATGCAGAATGCTGCAAGACGTTGTGGGGGAGAAGAATGCCAGGTGCAGAGTAAGATCTATACGGAGTCAGAGAGTAATTAGCTTTGTGAAGGATTGTCCAGCCACAAGTGTTTGTTAGGAGTAACAACTAAGGGATAACCAAGATTGTTTAACTCTTGCAGGCCTGTTTGGCTGGTATGTGCCAAAGATTGTTCATTTATCTCCGTTTTTGCTGCAACAAATACCCCCTGTTAGTTATTCTTTCTGTATCAGTGGGGGAAGGGAAGCAGGCATCGTTCTTGTGTGGCTGAAGACAAAAGCTTCAGTTTTGCTCTGTTCAACAAACATTAGCTGCCTGGTCTAGTGGCCCATCTATCTCCTGCTTCACATTTGAGTGCTTCTTTGGGCTTCTCTGGTAACTCAGGCGGTAAAGAATCTACTTGCAATACAAGAGACCCTGGTTTGATTCCTGGGTTGGGAAGATCCCCTGGAGAAGCGATAGTTTATCCACTCCAGTGTTCTTGGGCTTCCCTGGTGGCTCAGATGGTAAAGAATTCACCTGCAGTGTGGGAGACCTGGGTTGGGAAGATCCCCTGTAGGAGGGCATAGCAATCCACTCCAGTATTCTGGCCTGGAGACTCCCCATGGACAGAGGAGCCTGGTGGGTTACAGTCCATGGGGTCATAAAGTGTTGGACATGACTGAGCAACTAAGCACATTGTGTTCTTTAATGAGACTGATATTTTTTATAAAGAGAATTGGAACTTTTAGTTCACATTTTTCCTTAACAAGTAGGGAACAGATATTTTACTATGTTCATGGATTTGTGATCTCAAAATGTCCTTACTTCTCTCATATTCTTTGGACCTATGCCTCAGAAACAGATGTGTGAAGAAACAAGTGAATGCCCTGGGAATAAATAAAGATGTCTTCAGACTCAGAAAATTGTGAAAGTAACTAGGGGGTATGGTCCTCAAGCATAAACTCTTTATTTATGAATTGCTCAAATACAAAGTATGGACACTTATGTGCGTACCTGTACAATTGTTGTATGTATTCAACACTCACTTCTTTTTCAAAAGGTGCTCCATCTACATGGAAACACAGAATCATACACGTGTCTCAGAGTTCCTCCTCCTGGGCTTCTCAGATGATCCAGACCTGCAGCCCCTCCTCTTTGGACTCTTCCTGTCCACGTACCTGGTCACTGTGCTTGGGAACCTGCTCATCATCCTGGCTGTCAGCTCTGACCCCCACCTCCACAGCCCCATGTACTTCTTCCTCTTCAATCTGTCCTTGGCTGACATCAGTATCAGCACCACCACCATCCCTAAGATGCTAGTGAATTTCCAAATGCATAGCAAATCCATCCCCTATGCAGGGTGCATTGCTCAGGTGAACTTTTTTGTTCTTTTTGCATGTTTGGAGAGCCTGCTTCTGACAGTGATGGCCTATGACCTGTTGGTGGCCATTTGTCACCCCCTGTACTACCTGGTCATCATGAACCCCCGCCTCTGTGGTTTGTTGGTCCTGGCATCACTTTCCATTAGCTTTTTGAACTCCCTGCTGCACTACTTGGTGATGACACAGCTTACCTTCTGTGCAGGTGTGGGACTTCCTCATTATTTTTGTGAATTTTCTCAACTCTTAAACCTTTCCCGTTCTGACACTTCCATCAGTAGAATATTAATCCATTTCATCAGTATCATCTTTGGTGGAGTTCCACTGTCAGGGGTCCTTTACTCCTATTCTCGAATTATTTCCTGCATCCTCAGACTCTCATCGTTAGGTGGGAGGTATAAAGCCTTCTCCACCTGTGGTTCTCACTTGCCAGTTGTTTGCTTGTTTTATGGAACAGGCATTGGGGTGTATATAAGTTCAGCTCTCTCATCTTCCCCTAGGAAGAGTGCGGTGGCCTCAATGATGTACTCTGTGGTCACCCCTATGTTGAACCCCTTCATTTACAGTCTAAGGAACAAGGACATCAAGAGTGTCCTGTGGAGGATTAGCCACAGAATAGCCTAATCTCAAATCCTGTGCCTTCTTATTTTTTGGTTCATAAGACATGAGTTTGAGCCAACTCCAGGAGATAGTGAAGGACAGGGAAGTCTGGCATGCTGCAGTGCATGGGGTCATAAAGAATTAGACACAACTTAGTGACTGAACAATCACAAAAAAGATTTACAAAGGCAGTAAAATCAAATATGTGCAACAAGAAGTTCTAAATATGCAAACAGAGAGTGTATATATACTTATCTGGTTTGCTGCTTTCTGTTTATGCAGGTTTCCCTCTTAGAATAGCTTTAATCATTTGGGAGAGTCTTTTTGAATTCTCCACATAAGTCATATTCCCATCAGGATTTTGCCAGTACACCAGTATACCATTCTGTCTTTCCTTATACATGATCCAGGACCCTTGATCATGGGCAGTTTTGTTTGTAGCACTACAAAATAATCATAGCTCCCTCTTTCTTAAATTTGCTGTTTCTATATTTTCCTATGAGTTTTTCCACTATTTGATATGAGAATCCAAATCTTACCTGAAAGACCAAGATGTTTGGTATGTTTTTATCCCCTAGTGATCTTGGCCTGGTTTTTGAGCAGATAGGGTGACTAACTTCCCATTTTTAGTTATATGCTTCCACTAACTCCCTTTCCCCTGGATCACTGGACCCTGTATAGAGTGCTCTACAGCTCCCAAAAGAAGCAATGTTTGGTTTATTTCTATTCGTATGTATACTCAGTAGGATCTGTTTTTGTCCAACTACCAGTGTGCACAGGATTGTCACAAAATACAGGGTGTGTTTATATGATTCACAAATAACAAAGTGACAAAAAGTGAGGATAGACATTTCTCAATTGGATGTCTAAAAAGACAATACAAGAAGGTGTTGATCTACCTGTTTCCCTGAAGAATATGCATCATAGCAGGGAGGAGAGATTCAGAAAATCACAAAACAAATCTGTGAAAAGCACTCCTTGGTTTTCAAATGCCAAGTCGTCTAAACTCATTTCGGTAGTTTTTCTAGCAACCAATCTCTGCTTTCCACTATGAAATGTTTTCACTTTCTTTTTACATTATTCTCATTGCTCAAGCATTCTATTAATAAAATTTATTGATACCCAATTCTTTCCCCATAAATATTCTCTACACACCAGTTATTTAGTCATCCCCCTAACTTTTCTCTGACGTGTTTGCACAAATATAATTAACCTTTTTTTCCCATGTCCAACTTAATTGAGTATATATTCTACTTATCAACTATCAAGTTAGTGAGGAATCAATCTCTTGAGTTTCTCATACATAGACTCTGAGTCAGGAAGACAGAAACATAAGTTGTAGGAGGTTGTAACAGACCTTCATCTCACATAAGTGTGTGTGAAAGTATTAGTCACTCAGTCATGTCTGACTCTTTGCAACCCCGTGGACTGTAGTATACTGTAGTCCACCAGGCTCCTCTGTCCATGGAATGTAAGCCAAAAGCACATTAATGACATCCAGAATTCAAATACAAAAGTTATTTTAAAAATATACATTTAGAGAGGGAGATGTGTCCTCTCTAATCGAGCAGAAATCAAAGGTTTGTTGAACTCAGACACTGAATGGCTCTGGCTTGTTCTAATATCAGTGGAAGAACTCTATGAATGTAAGAGAAGCTAGAGGTATTTCTGACTCTATGACTGGCAACAGCATGGTGGGATCTGCAGAAATAGCCATAACAGGGCAGATTCTTCGTGTACCAGGTCTTCTCCAGGGAATTTTTCTTGAAAAATAACTGACAAAGGATTAATTTCCAAAGTATACAAGCAGCTCATACAACTCAATACCAGAAACACAAACAACCCAATCAAAAAGTGGGGAAAAGATCTAAACAGTAGTTTCTCTAAAGAAGACAGACAGATGGCCAACAAACACATGAAAAGATGCTCAAAAATGCTCATTATTAGAGAAATGCAAATCAAAACTATAATGAGATATCACCTCACACCAGTCAGAATGGCCCACATCACAAAGTCTACAAACAATAAATGCTGGAAAGGGTATGGAGAAAAGGATACACTCTTGCACTTTTGGTGGGAATGTAAATTGATACAGCCACTATGGAAGACAGTATGGACATTCCTTAAAAACTAGGAATAAAACCACCATATGACCCAGCAATCCCACTCCTAGGCCTATACCCTGAGGAAACCAAAATTGAAAGAGATACATGTATCCTATTGTTCATTGCAGCACTATTTACAATAGCTAGAACTTGGAAGCAACCTAGATGTCCATTGACAGATGAATGGATAAAGAAGTTGTGGTATATGTACACAATGGAATATTACTCAGCCATAAAAAGGGATGCCTTTGAGTCAGTTCTAATGAGGTGGATGGACCTAGAACCTATTATACAGAGTGAAGTGAGTCAGAAAGAGAAAGATAGATATCATATTCTAACACATACATACAGAATCTAAAAAAAAAAATGGTACTGAAGAATTTTCCTACAGGGCAACAATGGAGAAACAGACATAGGGAACAGACTTATGGTCATGATTAGAGGGGAGGAGAGAGTGAGATGTATGGAAAGAGTAACTTGGAAACTTTCATCACCATATGTAAAATAGATAGCCAATGGGAATTTGCTGTGTGACTCAGGAAACTCAAACAGGGGCTCTGTATCAACCTAGAGGGGTGGGATGGGGAGGGAGATGGGAGGGAGATTCTAGAGGGAGGGGATATATGCATACCGATGGCCGATTCATGTTGAGGTTTGACAGAAAACAGCAAAATTCTGTAAAGCAATTATCCTTCAATAAAAAATAAATTAATTAAAAAAAGAAGATGTGTTGTTGTATAAATGGAATACTCCTCAGCTATCAAAAAGAATGAAATAATGCCATTTGGAGCTACGAGGATGGACCTAGAGAGCATAATAAGTGAAATAAGTCAGAAAGAGAAAAACAAATTATCATGTGATATCACTTACATATGGAAACTAAAAGAATAACACAAATGAACTTTTTAAAAAACAGAAATAGAGTCACAGATATTAAAAAAAAAAACTGATGGTTACTAAAAGGGAAGGCACAGGGAAGGTTACATTGTAAGTTTGAGATTAACTTCTGTATATACACTGTTATATATAAAATAAACAACAAAATTTTACTGAATACCATAGGGAACTATATTCTATATATACAGACTATAATAATCTATAATGGAAAATAATATAAAAACAATACATATATATTTGCAAAAGAAGTGCCTGAAGTTTACAATAATGTAAACCACTTGGACTTCAATGGTGAGGAGTAGAGGTCAGCCTCCTCTTGAGAAGAGGAAGGGTCGAGGTCCTTCCTAATACAATCACTTTTCTTCTTTTCCTCCTCCATGAAATTAGCAAATCCTCAGAGACTGAGAGGCCATGGACCAATGCATCTAATTATCTTTTAGGTGCATTGAGGTCTCAAGGCTGTATCATCGTAAATAATTAGCCTATGCTTCCCCGCCCTTAAGTTAGTCAGCTCCAGTCCACTGGGTGTCATACCTGTGTCTTTCACCTCCCAGAGTTGTTGTCTGAACCTGGAAGCCTATACTTGAGTCTGTTTTCTTGTGAGTCCTGTGGACACAGCCTCAACCCTCATCCAACAGCCGGCATGGGAGAGGCAGGCAATCTGCATCCTTCAGTCCTGCTTCAGGGGAGACACAGCCCAACCCAGTGAGTGTCAAGTGCAGAGGCACACACTGAATGCAGGAAGAATAGGGAAGCCTTGTTTACTCACCACAAGGCAGTGGGATGGTTGGGATAGCCGGGATAGCCAGTGGGAGGGCACCAAAATACACAGATTCAGTTAAGAGGTTTATGAAGTTTATGTTGTTGTTAGTGGTGCGGATCCAAGAACTCTTACTTAAATTTCTATTTTCCTCTAACATTGGTTCTGTCTTGGGGGGATGCGGTGCATTTTTTTCTACCTGAGCAGGAAAGAGGTCCCTCTAAATTGTTCCCCAGGTGCTCTAAAATATGAAGGTAATGATGAGGAAAATGATGAGAGTAACCACAGTGTCACAAAACTTTACCTAAGGATTCCAAGTCCAGGAGCTGAGCTAACTTTTTTGTGTAATTGTTCTTTTTATGTGCTTTACTATCACCTCCAAAGACAGCAATATCATTATATCATTTTGTAGTTATGGATAGGGACACAATACTTTAAGGTAATGCTTATAAACCCTGAGGAGATAGAGGGTAAAGTCAGATTTGAATGTAGACAGTGATATTCCATTCATAAGGCACCTAAACAATATCCTCTCCTGCTAACCTAACCTGCATTCATGGAACTGAATTTAGGAGAAATGCAGACTCTCTATAAGGAAATAGTGACTTGAAAAGCTCTCAGGCTGGTGTAAGAAGGCCAACTTAGGGTTTGAGATCTGGCTTTGGTCTGAAATTTCTCAACTGTTCATAAGAAAGGAGACCCTGAATGCAGGAAGGATTGGAGGAGATTTATTTTCTCATCATCAAGGCAGTGAGAGAGTTGGGATAGCATGTGGAAGGGCACCAAAGATGCATAGGTTCAAAGCAGAGACCTATGAAGTTCATGTTATTAATGGTGGGGATTTGAGAACTCTTATTTAAATTTCTATTTTCCTTCCACACTGGTTCTATCCTCCTTGGGCATCTTTTCCAGCAGAGCAGGAAATAGGTCTCCCTAAACTGTCCCCTATGTTCTCCAGATGATCACGAAGGTGATGGTGATGAAAATGATGACAGTAAACACAATATCACAAACTTTTACCTGGGATTTCATTTGCCAGGAGCAGAGCTAAGATTTTTCTGAAGCTTGTTTTCTTTTATCTGCATTACCACCCCCAGAACATGCGTTATTATCTCTTACAGTTGAGGATAGGAACACAATATTTTTATGTAACTTTTATCAGGCCCTAATGTGGAGTAGAAAAGGAATAAAGTCAGAGTTGAATGCAGATAGGGAAAATTCATTCATAGGGTACCTATTTAGTTACTAAATTGTGTCTGATT